ACGACAGAGAGGCGGAGAAGCAGCTGAGAGCAAAAGGGTTGATCAGAAAAGCAGGGGAGGAGCTGAAGTGCTTCGGCGGGGAGTGCTTTAAGCTGTCGTTTGTTGTGATTACGGCGGTGACTTTGTTGGGTGTATTTGTTTCGTTGATTTTGGTTATTAGAACGAGGAGTTTTTACAAGAGTGACATTTATAAGAGGTTTCGAGAGGAGGCTGAAGCAGAGGTCGCCGGAAATGGGGCCACCGGAGAGGCGGAATTGGAAAGGAGAAACCGGTAGGAAGAAAATTGGGATTTGGAATCAGACGAGAGACAAGTTGTTGTGTGAAATCCAAACGTTGGAAGAAGAAGAACAGACAGATTTTTTTGATCTCCATGGCTTCTTCCGAAGGTACAACGTTTGTCCTTTGTCGTGATTAGTTGTAGTAGCAAAAAGGTTGCTTTATTACAAGTTTGCCAATAAACTTTTAATATGGTATATTTTTAGTAACCTCGGAACTTAAAAAAAAAAAAAGATTGTAAATTAAAAGCAACAAGTTTATACTGTTTGGTGCGAGTAGATTTATGTTATTTTCTGTTTAAATAATACAATTAACACTCGTGAACTGGATAATAATTGGCACTTTTGATTCAGAGGTCATGAATCCAAATCGAATGTTAAATAAATGTGACCTTAAAAATTGAATTTATGGACTAACTAAAGTAAAATTACAAAATTTTTCTATATTACACCACTGTGATGGGTAATTGTTGTTTCTTTTTTTATTAAAAAGAAAAAGGAAATTGAAACATGTATGATAATATTTTCTTCTTGTTCTATAAATTAGAAAAAAGGTACCATATTTATATTAAACATTCAAAATATTCTATTATATTTATTTTTAATATTTATTATGCATTTTATAAGTCAATAATGATAAAGTAATGCATTTATTTATATTTGAAAAATTGAACACAAGAACGAGAAACAAGAAAACTTAGAGTCCATTTGGTAACGTTCCCGTTTCGTGTTTTCGAATTTCTTAAGAAATCTAAACATTTTGCAACTAACCATATTTCTTGTTTCTCCTCGTTGGAAAACATTTTGAAAATTGTATAGAAATTTTGGAAACAACCAAAAACAAGTTTTTTCTTTCTTGTTCTTATTTCCAATTTGTTCCACAATATAAATACCAAAACATAAATAAAAAAAATTATTTTATCACATTTGAATTCATAGATGTTGGGACATAGAATTCATTTTTCTTCCTTAAAAATGAAGAAACAGAAACAAGAAACATGAACGTTACCAAACGAGCTCTTAATTTTGTTGTTTTCGAGATTTCTATATAATTTTAAAAATGTCTCTTAACAACGAGAAATGAGAAATATAAATAGTTACCCAACACTTATGTTTATCCGGAACTAAAAACGGAAAAAAAAAAGAAATAAGAATTACTAATAAAAACTCCAGAAAAAAAAGTTGAATTAAAGATATAAATTAACATTATTTTAAAAAAATGAATCTGTCCATTAGCTGTAAGATTATTCCCTCCAATTTGGTAGGGCTAAGCTAAATGTGGAAGTTAGCTGTAGTCAAAGTCAAAGTACCAATTTTTTATTTCAAAATTAATTAATTTCGATTTTCAAAGTATGAAATGAATCTGAAAATTTGGAAACAGGATATCCCCACACTTCGTTTTCATTTGGCCTCCTTTGTCCACCCTCAATTTCATCCAATCAAAATGAGATTTTTTTTTTCCTCCAAAGGAATGGGATTTTCTTATGTGTGAAAATATCATGATAATTTTTTTAATTAATTAATAATATTTCTAAACTAACTACAAAGACTTCTTTCCAACCTTTCAAATTTACAATCAAATTTATAATATTGAATTTCTATTATTTCTTATATACTGCCAAAGAAGGTTAATAATATTTTAACTGACTAAATTTAAAGCAGAAAGACAAAAAAGATGTAGTTTAATATGAAAAATAGAGGAAAATGACCTCTAATTTGATGAGACAGAAGACCCAATTTCTTTGGGTGCTTTCTAAATATATTACACCCACGTGGCCCTCTTGTATTAATTAATAATGTGGGATTTCCCTTTCAAATATAGCAAGAGGAAGTCCTTTTTTTAATTAATTATTTAAATTTTCAATTTGTGGCTAAAGTAAATTTTTATGGGCCGTCAATATTTATAATACGTAACTCATTTCCCAATCCAAACATAGTCGGAGGTTGAAAAGGACCTCGTAATGTTAACAAAGTTTTTATTTAAACATTTAACCGATAATTTTTAAAAAATTAATAATCAAATTGAAAATTGAAGTAATCAAGTATATTGGGTATATTTGAAAGTAGCGATAGAATGAGTGATTTTGAGAAAAAAAAAATTTAAGTAAAATTGATTTTTCAGAATCGCTAATTCCTTGAAAGTCAATTTAAAGTGATTTTAAAATTTTTTAAAATCAATTTTTTTTCTAATTTGTCAACATGATCAACGAAGAAGGGGTGATTTGACAATAAAAAATATGCTATATTATTATGTTGCACAACAAAGTGTATATAATCAATGTGTGTGGCTCATGGCAAATATTAAAAGGAGAAAAAAAGAGATTTCGAGGACAAAGGATAAACTCGGAATGATGTATCTGCCAATTCCTCGTTTATRGAAAAAGTTAAACTATGCTAAGTTAGAGAAATTGTAATTAAATAATAAGATGACATATAGTTTATGATAAACTTCACTCTAAATCATGTGTTCAATTAACCTATTTTAATGTTTAAAAAAATATGAAATAATAACAAATCCATCCCTCTCTCACAGCATAGTTCTAGAAGGTAACGTTATAATTATTTCTGCATCGTAATATAATAGTTGTTCTATTACTTCAAGTATAATCTATTGAGTGGTATGGTTTATCAAAATTTTTATTATTTTGTCAAAACGARCATAACTCAACTGTAATTGATATACATCTCCAACTAAGAGGTTGTGAGTTCGATCCCCCACCCCACATGTTGTACTAAAAAAAATCATTACTTTTAAAATATAATTTGATAATGATGATATAGGATTTTGTACGAAGTGAAGAGTGAGGTACAAATATGATGTGGATGTCTAATCATTAAGGTGATGGCCTGCACACAAAACCTTGTACTGAAGTGGTATTAGGCCACGTACACTCCAAGACTTAAGTTGGTACTTAATCCAAACTAAAATATTACGTACAATTGAAAGGAATGAACCTAGCCCTTTGTAGAAAAGCTTTGGAAAATGTTACTCTACCAATGCACTTCATACCTAATGTTCGGTGGATTGCTGGCATCTGTGTTTTCAAGTCGGTGTCGAGGTAGGTTTATCAAAAACTAAGGTGTGGACACATGTTTTTTAATGAGAGGAGCCAGGTGGCAAATTCTGATTCCACCATTTAACCTCATAAACATATGATTTGTATTATATATCTTTAAGCAAAGTCTAATATAAAAAGATTAGAAAACAAAAACAAAACTCTCGATTTCTCACCCATTTAATAAATACAACTTTTCACACGTAGTTGACGTGACATTCTTTTAATAATTCAATTATTTGAAATATTTATTGGATGGAAGAGCTTAAAATTAGATGATCCAAGCTTTCAATGCCACAAAGTAATAAATAGTTTATTTCGCTGTCATTTGGAGTGTCTGATTGAGTAAGTTTCCATCTTTGTATTAGTCTATAATTAATTAATAAAATATCTCTATTGCGTTTCTTGCATTACGGCACCGTTTAATAAATATAATTAATACAATATTAGTCCGCAAATTAAAATCTTCTTATATATATTTTTCGAAAGTAATTAAAACCTAAAAATTTTAATAACTCTACCTTAGATTCTATCAACCTCTCGGCTCTCCCTATTCTAACGTCTCATATTAATACAATACAATTTCAATATAATTACTATTATTTTTATATTGTTAATAAAAATAATAATTTATTTTTTGAGAAGTGTTTAGAGTCTAGAGGAGTAATATACACCTCAATACATATTATATACTAATTTTGTGGTATTGTTCACTTATAGTTACTTAATTATTGATTACTTTTCATATGAAATAACGTGAATAAAATTTGTTGGGTCGATTCAATTATCTAATTTAATCCTTCGTCTTATATATCTATTAGAATTTATGTTTAAATAAAAATTGGGGTCAAATTGTTTTTATACATATTTCTAGAGTATATAATTACTAGTTATAAGTTTTCTTTTATTTAGGTCGTTTAACTAAATATAAAAATATTAGCTAATTACCTTAAAATTATAATATTAGAACTTTAGTAAAATTGACCGATTAAATTAGATTTGTACGTGGTTCAAATAATTATATCATTATTTTTTCTATAAGTTTGAAAAATTCAAATTTCTACCTCTATATTTATAATATAATATTTGAGAAAAAGAATTATTATATTTCTCCCGTTCTTTGGAGCAAAGTCATGCTATTTTCATGGAAGGGTAACGTGAACGCAGAATTTGGCATACAATACAACGCAGCAAATCTTTATAACTAATGGATCAATTGATATCCATTTTGATTTTTCTTTTTTTTTTTTTCA